AGACGGACCTGCGCTTCCAGAGCTCGGCCGTGATGGCGCTGCAGGAGGCCAGCGAGGCCTACCTGGTGGGCTTGTTCGAGGACACCAACCTGTGCGCCATCCACGCCAAGCGCGTCACTATCATGCCCAAGGACATCCAGCTGGCTCGCCGCATCCGCGGGGAGCGGGCCTAAGCAGCGCGCGCTCCGTCCCTCGTCCGCCCCGCCCGTCCTACACAAAGGCTCTTTTCAGAGCCAACCACGCGGCATCGGAAAGGGCTGTACCGCTCGTGCTGCCCGCTCTGGGCCGCCCTCGGCACAAGGGCGTGCGGAGGGGGGCGCTTGGGCCTCCAGGGCCGGCCAGGACCGGGTGTGTTCCGGCCGCGCCTCCTGGTTACTGTGCTCGGCCGCGGCTTCGCTCCTCTGCGGCCCGGGGGCACTAGCACGGCCACACCCCGCGCGCCTTCGCGCTGCCTGTTCGGCCGCCTCGGGGGGACGAGGTGGGAGGGGAGCGGGGCGCGGCGCCAGGGGCTTCAGGGCCGCTTCGTCACTTGGGGGCGCTCGGCCTTGCGGTCCGGAAAACCCCTAGTTGGCAGCCCTGCGCGGGTCCAGGCGTTCTTCCTGGTCCAGAACTCTGTGCTGTTGTCTGGCGCAAGGGAAGTCGTCTCCCCGGAAACGGCCTCATCACTTGCTTGCGGTAAATGTACTTGGGAAGGAAATCGCTGCCTCGTTTCTCTGACTTCTCCAGGTAGAGTTAGGGATTCCTGGGCTTGCAGGCCTCGTTGAGTTCCTGGACACCGTAGCTCGAAAGGTGTTTATCTTGCATTTTCTCAAGCCAGTGCCCATATGAATGTGTAAGGTCGCATTATCTGGAAAGTTCCCACCCCAGGGACACGGACACTTGCCCTTCTCCAGGAGGGTATTTTCTGAAGGCTATGTCCTTCGTCTGTATTCTCTCATTTTTAAGAGATTACACATTGAAAGAGCAGAATATGGTCTCGATTTCAAGTTCTTGATAAAGGAATATCCTCCCATGTTGGCTAGACGAGTCCTGTGCCTCAGGCGTGGGGGTTGTGGCATAGCTTGCAGACTTGTCTATGTAGGACTCAGGACTGTAGATCTCACTGATACACTTCTTAATCTTCACTCCTACTTGCACCTGGAAGAGGATAGAACTTACCTTTTATTTTCTTTCAACACAGGTGATGGGTTGAAAACATTTATTACGGAGTCATTGAAACGTCAGCGTGGAGAAGGAACCAGAATAAACTTAGTTTGTAACACTGTCGTTTTGTCTCAGATACCTCAGGAGACAAGTGGATCTGTACTGTGGTCTTTCCTTCGATGGGTTGTCACGTTTTGGTGTCAGGGTCACACCAGTTTCCACCTAGGTGCTTGGTTCCTACTTAGGCCTGTGACACAGGGTGTGCGCTCAACTTTGAGAGCTGGA